CGTTCATATGCGCCGCCCAAGCCCCTCCACCCTCATTTCCCACCCTCCACACTCACCCATCATCCTAATCCTACCCACCCACATCAATCCTCAAGCCCATTCTCCATACCTACCATCCTTCCGCCCGCCCCACCAACCACGTCACGACCCCCCTCATTCCCCCTACCATACGCATTACGTCCGATCACCATCAACCACCACCTTCACCCACTACTGCACGACCATCACCCCCATCCCAGCCACAACCCCCACCCCCTGCCTTGGCCATGCCCACCACCACCTCATCGCGCACACCGCTTCCTCTTCCTCCTCCTCCTTCTCCCCTCCACGCTCCAGCTCACCCCCCAGGGGCCTCTGACGCTTCTGAGCGCCTTCCATAGACTACATGTGTGTGCTAAATGGAAAGTTGAACAAGGCAGGTAAGACGGAGTTCCGCGCCAGGCAACCGCGAGGGAAGGGTCGAGCGCCACAACGACCACTGATATGGACGGATGGTGGTAATCAACGTCGCTGCTATCGTCATCGGCCAGGCAGCACTGGCGGAAGCGTCAACACTCCCAGCGAGCCAACGCCTATTTGCATTTGTCCCCGTGAACGCGTACTACGTGACCGCCGAAACACCGACCCGCTCTCAGCCAGCTCCTTCCACTGGAAGGCTTCCATTGCCTACCTCCTCACTCTCGCCGGCCATGGCGAGTGCTTGCCTTGTTCACACATCCACCAATGCGGTGATACCGCTTCCACCTGGCGACCGCATTGTTCTGGGCCGCAACCAGCGCGCCCTTCCTATGGTCTCCGACCGACGTGTCTCCCGCCAGCACCTCGTCGCCGTCTTTGACTCGGACACCGGCGCTCTTGCTCTCGAGCACCATGGCGCATCGCCGGCCGTAGTCCGCGGAGCCTCGCTCTTCCACAACTCGCTCCTGGCCTACGACGGCGACCTCATTTCGCTGCTTCCGCCACCAGTCTCGGGTCTCGACTTTAAGCTTGTTGTCGTCGCTCCATCCGCCTCGCCGGCCTCCCGCCCGAGATCTCCCGCGCTCCTCGCTGACGCTCCGCCGACCAAGCGATCAAAGACTCTGGCTGGCACTGCCGTCGCCCAGAGCTCAGACTTGCCTGCCGCGGCATCTGTCCCGTCGCTGGATGCCTCTCTCAACTACTTTTCCGACCACTCACAGTCGGCGTCGGAGGAGCTCGACAACGACGCCGAGAACAGCTCTGGAGATGAGCTCGACGATGGTGCCGCCAGCTCGAGTGCACCGCTGCCGGCGTGCAAATACGGTGTGGACTGCTACCGTAAGAACCCAGCCCACTTTGCTGCGTTCTCTCACCCTTATCGCGATGCCTGCGGCAAGCCGAAGCCGCCCGCGGTGGTCGAGTCCTCGCTCGCCACTCCCTCGCCCATCTCGCTCACTTCTGCCATGCAAGCCCACACTGCGGCGCCTGCTGCTTTCGCCCACTCCAACGACGACGACCCATCGGGCGGCGCGGCTCTTCTTCCGCTCGTCGGCAAGCACATTGTGCTGACCGGCGCGCTCACTGCCGGCACCCGCAAGGCCATCTCGGCCCGCCTGGTTGCCATCGGTGCGCTTCCCATGGGCTCAGTCTCGTCACGAACACACTATCTGGTTGCTGGCGACAAGCCGGGCTCCAAGTTGACCAAGGCGCAGAACTTGGGCGTGGCTGTTGTGCTCGAGCCAGAGTTTATGGCTGCACTGTGCGCCGCTGAGGGCGCAGCGCCTCCGCCGCCCCTGCCAGCTGCTGGTGTTGCCGCCGGCCCCGCCCGTCCCCTGCCGCCGGCCTCGCAGCCAGCCTGTGCCGCAGCATGTGCCCTCCTCCTTCCGCGCAAATGGGAGCTCGAGCGTGGTGACGATCCGACTGGCTGGTGGCTCTCCGAGAAGCTTGATGGTGTCCGTGCATACTGGGACGGCTCGGCGTTCTACTCGCGGCTTGGCAATCAATTCAATGCCCCTCCCGAGTTTACTGCCGGCCTGCCCGGGCCGGATCTTCCTCTCGACGGCGAGCTCTTTCTCGCCCACGGCGCGTTTCAGACCGCTGTCGGCGCGGTGCGGAGTTCTGACGCCTCGCGCTGGGCGACGCTCACGTATTGCGTCTTTGACGCGCCTCCTGTCCTCGGCTCTGGTCGCGATCCACCGTTCGAGACACGGTTTGCCAAGGTCCAGGCCTGGTACACCGCTGCGCAGCCGCGCTTTGCCCGCATCGTCGACCACATCGCCTGCACCTCGCCGCTGCACCTCACCGACGAGCTGGAGCGTATCGAGGCAATGGGTGGCGAGGGCGTCATGCTCCGCCAGGCTGGCTCGCGCTATGTTCGTGGCCGGTCACAAACGCTGCGCAAGCTCAAGTCGTTCCACGACGCCGAGGCCATCGTCGTTGCCCACACCAAGCTCATGAGCTCAGCTGCCCGCCATGCCGGCGTTCCGGGCCTTGTCGGCTCACTCCGCTGTCGCATGGCCAACGGCACCGAATTCTCCGTCGGATCGGGCCTCTCCGACGCTGTCCGCGCCGCGCCGCCTCCCATCGGCGCCATCATCACCTACCGCTTCACCGAACTCACCGACGGCGGCGTCCCGCGCCACCCGCGCTTTGTCGGCGAGCGTGTCGACATGACCGCACCCAAGGACTGGGTCCCCACCCGCTAACCCACCGCTTACCAGCTCAATTGTCCAACCCCCCTATCGCTCCAATCGCCCACATAACCACCGCGATCCCCTCGCTCCCCTCCACAAACTTTGTGTTTCTACCCAACCAACGAATGCCCCACCCCCCCTCCCACCACCACCAGCCACACACACACTCCGCGTCCTCACCACTCCACTCCACACACAACCACACACACAACCGCCACCACCACCCGCACACACACACACATATATATACACGTACGCACCTCCTTCGCCCTCGCTTCCCTCGCATCCCACATTCCCCGTCCCCCCCTCACCCCCCCTCCCTCCCCCTGTAGAATCCTACACACAGCATGACCTTTGGCAGCGGCAAGCGCAACAGCCGTGGTCATGGCTCACGCCGCGGACGGGGACGAGGCTCCCGGAGGCAGTTTGAGGTAGCAGCAGCAGAGCGGGATGCTCGTGCTGCGGCAAACGGTCAGGGTGGTGCTGGTCGCTCTGGTCGCTCTGGTCACTCCTCCTTCCGCTCCCGCTTTGACGACTCGTCCTCGCTGGCCTCCATGGACGAGACATCGACGACGGCCTTTTCGGACTTTACCGCCGCAGGTGCATCCGGTCCGTCGGGTGCTTCTGCTATGCCCGAGGGCTACATGCGGAGCACGCGGTCCGAGTCGTCTCGCTCGCGCTTCGGCTCGGGTAACAATTCGGGTAGCAAGTACCTCTCACCCGAGGCCAAAGCCGAGGCCCGCGCCGAGCGCGCTGCCAAGATCGAGGCCCTCGACATCAAGTTTGGCTACTCGCGCGTCTCCGAGGGACCTGACCGGCTCGGTTGGCTCCTCAACATGCACCCGACAACCATCGAGGAGCAGGAGACCGGGAACACGCTCGCTGCCATCGACTACTACTTTCTGCAGGGCGATGGCGCCACGTTCAAGGCCTCGGTCGCCTACGAGCCGTACTTTTATCTGGCTGTTGCCGACGAGGATGCCCTTGTCGGCGTGGAAACTTTCCTCAAGCGCAAGTTTGAGAACATCTCGCAGATCATTCCCACGCCCAAGGTCGATCTCGACCTAGACAACCACGTCACCGGCCTCCTCCGCGTTTACCTCAAGCTCACCTTCCGCAACATTGACGACCTCCTCGCCGTCCGCCGCTCCATTCAGGCCATTGTCCGCCGCAACAAGGACCGCGCCAGCGCCTCGCTCGACTTTGACGCCCCGTCGTCGTCCAACTATACCGCCTACTCGGCCTTTGGCACCGTCGCCGGCGCCGACGAGTCAATCAACGCCTCCGAGTCGCTTGCCGACGTCGAGGAGCTCCTCGTCGACATCCGTGAGTACGACGTGCCGTACTACGTCCGCTGCTCTATCGACGCCGACATCCGCTGCGCCAACTGGTTCACCGTCTCGTTCTCCGGCGGCCTCGCCTCGCTCCGCCCCGAGCCCGAGCTTCTCGAGCGGCCGGACACCCGCATCCTCGCCTTTGACATTGAGACTGCCAAGCAGCCGCTCAAGTTTCCCGATGCGCATGCCGGCGACCAGATTATGATGATCTCATACATGCTCGACGGCCAGGGCTTTCTCATTACTAACCGCGAGATCGTCGCCGCCGACATTGATGACTTTGAGTACACCCCCAAGCCCGACTACGAGGGCCACTTTGTTGTCTTTAACGAGGCCGACGAAAAGGCGCTGCTGGTCAAGTTCTTTGAGCACATCCAGCGTGTCAAGCCCACCCTGTACGTCACCTACAACGGCGACTTTTTCGACTGGCCTTACATCGACACCCGCGCCACAGCCCATGGCATCTCTATGTACGATGAGATCGGCGTCGCCACCCGCCAGGGCTCGGGCGAGTATCGCTGCCGCTTCGCCACACACATGGACGCCTTTTACTGGGTCAAGCGCGACTCGTACCTGCCTGTCGGCTCGCACGGCCTCAAGGCTGTGACCAAGAAGAAGCTCGGCTATGACCCGCTCGAACTCGATCCCGAGGACATGACCCCGTTTGCCGCCGAGCGTCCGCAGGAACTTGCCTCGTACTCGGTCTCCGACGCCGTCGCTACCTACTACCTCTACCTCAAGTACGTCCACCCGTTCATCTACTCGCTCTGCATGATTATCCCGCTCATCCCCGACGACGTTCTCCGCAAGGGCTCGGGCACGCTCTGTGAGTCGCTCCTCATGGTCGAGGCGTACAAGGTCAACGTCGTCTTTCCCGACAAGCAAAAGTCCGCCCTCTCCAAGATGTACAAGGCCCACCTGCTCGAGGCCGAGACCTACATCGGCGGCCACGTCGAGGCCCTCCGCTCTGGCGTCTTCCGCTCTGACCTGCCCGAGGACTTTGACCTGGACGGCTCGGCCTTTGCCGAGCTCATCGACGACGTCGACGCCACCCTCGAGTTTGCGCTCCAGGTCGAGCACGGCGTCCCGCTCGACTCGGTCACCAACTACGAGGAGGTCCGCGCGGCCATCGTCGCCAAACTCGAGGCTCTCCAGGCCGCGCCCAAGCGGAACGAGCTGCCGTGCATCTACCATCTCGACGTCTCGGCCATGTACCCGAACATCATTCTCACCAACCGCCTCCAGCCCACTGCCATCATGTCCGAGGCTGAGTGCGCCAAGTGCGACTTTAATCGTCGCGGGAACAACTGCCAGCGCCGCATGCCGTGGACCTGGCGCGGGACGTACCTGCCCAACACCCGCTCCGACTATGAGTACGTCCGCAACCAGCTCGCCTCGGAGCGCGTCGTCGACGACGACGCGCCCGGCGGGCCGACCAAAGTCTGGTTTGACGACCTGCCGGCTTCCAAGCAGGCCGAGCTGACAAAGGCCCGCCTTGCCGAGTACTGCCGCAAGGTCTACAACAAGGGCTCGGTCAAGACGGAGGAGGAGCGCGAGGCCATCGTGTGCCAGCGCGAGAACCCGTTCTACGTCGACACCGTTCGCGCCTTCCGCGACCGCCGCTACACCTACAAGGGCCTGCTCAAGACGTGGAAGAAGAAGCTCGCCAAGCAGGAGTCCTCGGGCGAGGGCCTCGACGTCCTGCAGGAGACCAAGAAAATGGTCATTCTGTACGACTCCCTCCAGCTCGCCCACAAGTGCATCCTCAACTCGTTCTACGGCTATGTCATGCGCCGCGGCGCTCGCTGGTACTCGATGGAGATGGCCGGCATCGTGACCGACACTGGTGCCAAGATCATCAAGGGCGCCCGCGTTCTCGTTGAGCGCGTCGGCATCCCGCTCGAGCTCGACACCGATGGCATTTGGTGCTGCCTGCCGTCGTCGTTCCCGGAAGACTTTGAGTTTACCACCTCGACTGGCGCCAAGCTCTCGGTCAACTACCCGTGCGCTGTCCTCAACAAGGGCGTCAAGGACAACTTTACCAACCCGCAGTACCAGGACCTTGTCGACGCAGACTCGAAGATCTATGCCACTCACGCCGAGAACTCGATCGAGTTTGAGGTCGACGGCCCGTACAAGGCCATGATTCTCCCGGCCTCGACTGAGAAGGACAAGAAGCTCAAGAAGCGGTATGCCGTCTTTGACGACGACGGCGTCATGTGCGAGCTCAAGGGTTTTGAGCTCAAGCGCCGCGGTGAGCTCAAGATTGTCAAGATCTTCCAGACACAGGTCTTTGGTGCCTTCCTCGAGGGCAAGACCCGCGAAGAGTGCTACGCCGCCGTCGGCCTCATTGCCAATAAGTGGCTCAACGTCCTCTTCACCAAGGGCGCTCACATGCCCGACCACGAGCTTGTCTCGCTCATTTGCGAGTCGCGCTCCATGTCGCGCAAGCTCGCTGACTATGGCGACCAGCGCTCGACCTCGATCACCACCGCCCGCCGCCTCGCCGCTTTCCTCGGCGACCAAATGGTCAAGGACGCCGGCCTCTGCTGCAAGTACATCATTTCCGAGAAGCCTATCGGCGCGCCGGTCTCGGAGCGCGCCCTGCCCATTGCCATCTTCTCGGCTGAGCCCGATGTCATGACTCACTGGGTCCGAACCTGGTGCAAGGATCCGGGCATGACCAACTTTGACCTCCGCGACCTCCTCGACTGGGAGTACTACATCACTCGCCTCGGTGCCTCTATCCAGAAAATTGTCACTATTCCAGCTGCCCTGCAGGGTATCGATAACCCGGTCCCGCGCGTGCCGCACCCGTCGTGGCTCGCCAAGCGCATCGCCGACGCCCGCGACCCGCTCAAGCAGGCCTCGGTCAAGAACATGTTTGCCACCGCCATCGCCGCCGGTGCCACCATCGCCGCGCCCGAGGATCCGCTCAAGTCAACCGCTGCTGGCCTCGTCGACATGGAGGCCATTGTCGACGACCCGGAGACCTCGGCCGCACTCGCCGGCCGGCCGCGGGTCACCACGCTCTCGCGCAAGCGCACCGCCGCCGCTGCCGCCCTCGACGGTCGCCAGCCGGGAGCGCGCGGCGCCCTCCCCTCGGTCCTCGCCCAGCCGTCGCAGTTTGATGAGTGGTACGCCGGTCAGCGCGCAAAGTGGGCGGCCATGCGCAAGGCACGCGAGGCCCGCAAGCGCGCCCGCCGCATGTCGTCGCAGCGCTCATCAGCGCTACCCATGCGCCTCCAGCTGACGCAGGACACGGTCTCGGATGCCGGGTCGGCCGCCAACATGCGCGCTGCGCCGCGCCCGCAGGCCCGCGGCCCGTCGCACTGGGAGGTCCTCTGCATCGACGACGCATCGCACTCACACGGCCCAGGCGTCTTTCGGGTCTGGGCCCTTGTCCGCGGTGCCGTCCGCTCGCTCCACATCCGCGTCGCCCGCACCTTTTTCGTCAACTCGCGCGTGGCCGACGCCAACCCCTCAGGCGTGCTCGTCACCAAGGCTCTGCCACGCTCCAAGAAGCCCATGCACCTGTACCAGTTCTCTATGGCCGAGACCATCTACCGGTCACACGCAAAGGAGCTCGCCTCGTTCTTTGCCCACCCAGACGTCGAGGGCGTGTACGAGAACCAGACTCCGCTCTACTTTCGGGCTGTCTCTTCGCTCGGTTGCGTTTTTGAGATCGCCCGCTCCGCCCGCTTCCACGCTGTCTCGGAGCACGTATACGACCTCGCTGACCTGCGCCCGCTCGCCCCATCGGCCGCCCCGTACCTGCCGGGCGCCGAGGGCACAAGCTCGCTCGGCTCGGCGGCCCACCTCATGATCTACCACTCGGCGACTGCGCTCGAGCGGAACGCTACACGCGCCCGCGCCGTCTTTGTCGTTTTTCCGGCCTTTGGCTCCAAGCTCGACCTGGTCCTCGTCGATCCGTCGGCGGCCGATCCAGTCCGCCGGCTCACTGGCAGCGACATCTCGCGCTCGGGCGTCAAGGTCCGCGCCGTCCTCGCAAGCGTCCTCAAGGCGCGCCTGCTGGCAGGCACGGAGCCGCCGCCGCCGGCCGTCGCTGCCGCTGGCGGCTGGCAGTCAATGGCCGAGGTCGAGGCTGCCGCCGACGCTGCCGCTGCACGCTACACAGTTGCTGTCACACTGGTCAAGCGGCTCGCGCGCGGCTACCGCGAGGTCAACGAGCTCGTCGGCTACTACGATGGCAACGCCGTGGTCTCGATCTGCTCGCCGGCAGACAAGGCCACCCTCCAGCGCGAGATCCCGACCCTCGCCGCCGTGCCTGTCCTCACCGTCCCGGCCAACGTCGCCGACTCGCAGTACGAGCCGCTTGGGTGGCAGGCCGCGGCAGTGGAGCGCGGCCTCGCCCGGTACTTTGTCATGCACGAGTGGTGGGGCAACCAGCTGCCGCTTGCCCGGTACGCGCGAGTGCCGATTGGTAGCCTCGAAGAGGACTACGCGCTCGGCATCACCGACATTGCCGTCGCACGGCTCCTCGCCGAAAACAACTTTGTGGCGTGGACCTCGCTCTCGGCGCTTCCAGATCTCGGCGGGTCCGAGGCCGACGACTTTGCCGCTGTCGCCGCGCCAGTGGTCAACCCGGAGTTTGTCTCGGCCGGCGCGTACCACACGGTGTGTGTGGAGCTGGAGCTCTCTTCGCTCGCCATCAACACCATCCTCCAGTCGACGTACCTCTCTGCTCTCGAGGGCTCGCTGGAGGCGAGCGTGGGCGGCGGGCCGGTGCTGGCCAAGTCTGGCGCGACGGCGTCAGGCCCGGCGACGTCGATGGAAGCGCTCATCGAGGGCGGGCTGGCCGGGCCGGCGGTGCTCAACGAGGCGGCCGGCGGTGGGTCAGACGAACTCGCCGCCGCACCGGCGCTGCAAATCATCAAGGCTCTTGTCCACCAGTGGTCGGTGGACGTGGGCCACGGGCGGAACACCAGCGCGGACGCGCTCCAGATGCACTTTTACCGCTGGCTGCAGGACCCCAAGTCGAAGCTCTACGATCCGCAACTGCACTCGCTGGTCCACATGATGATGAAGAAGGTCTTCCTCCAGCTTCTGGCCAAGCTCCGCTCGCTCGGCGCGCACATTGTGTACGGCTCGTTTGAGAAAATCATTCTCGCCACGTCAAAGACCCAGCTGGAGAACGCCGAGGCGTACATTGCGTACGTGCTCAAGGCTGTGGGCGAGACGCCGCTCTTCCACTTTCTGGGCGTCCACATCTCGGCGTACTGGGCCGAGCTCATGTTTGTCGACCCGGCCAACTACGGCGGCATCCGGGTCAAGCCGCACGTGGTCGATGAGCTGGCGGCCGAGTTTGACAAGGCCGAGGCGGCGCGCTCGCCCGAGGAGGCGCGGGCCATCACCCGCGCTGCGCTCCGCGCCACCTCACAAGCCCAGCAGGTCATCTCCAACTGGGACATGTCGCTTTATCTGCCCAAGCCGCTTGAGGAGCAGTTTGTCTTTGTCGTCTCCGAGTACATCTACAAGATGTACGAGTTCAAGGCGACTAAGCGGCTCGAGGCCGTGGGCGGGCCCGAGGCTGGCGCGCCGGCGGCAGGCGCGTTCTACGGCGCCGAGACGCTGCAGGACTACGCGCGGGCGCTCATCGGCGACCACTACGCGCAGCAGCTTTTCACCGCTGTCACCGAGTCGCGGCAGTACCACAAGGCCGACTTTCCGCGCCTGGCAGGCTCGCACCTTCCGCTCGACTCGCCAGGCCTCGAGTTTGTCAAGTACGTCACGCAGGTCTTCTACCTCGACAAGGCGCTCGAGAGCCAGGTCGACAAACTCAAGCGATCGCTCCTCCGCATCCTCGGCGTGCCCGAGTTTGCGTCGTCAGCCGAGTTCCGCAACCCATGCCTGACGTACATCTTGCAGAACGTCATCTGCTCGTACTGCAACGCGTCGCGGTCGGTCGACCTCGCCCGCGATCCGCGGGTGACCAAGGGCGACTGGGGCTGCGCCATCTGCGGCCACGCCGCCGACAAGGCCGCCATCGAGGCACGGCTCATCGACGAGCTCCACGCCAAGATCACCGCCTTTCAGCTGCAGGACCTGGTCTGCAACAAGTGCCGCCAGGTCAAGCTCTCCAACCTCCGCCGGTACTGCGAGTGCTCGGGCGAGTTCAAGCTCGCCGTCTCGCGCGACGACATCGCCGTCGCCATGCAGGCCTTTGGCAACATCGCCAACTACCACGAGATGGCGGCGCTTGCAGGCGAGGTCGAGGTCCTTGCAGACTGTGTTTAATGAACAAAGTCGAGGCAGAGAGAGGTTGGGCTTTATCGGGCGGGGTGAGGTGGGGAGGGTGTGTGGCTAGAGGATGGTGCACGAGCAGCCCGAGCGCGAGCGCGGGGTGTAGTGCTCGAGGTATGATAGCTGGGTCCTGTTGAGGGCGCCACGACGATTCTCGCGGATGATCTCGACGGCTTCGACCCAGTCCATGCCCGACTCGATGAGGGCGATGGCGACCATGACAGGAGCGCGACCGAGGCCCGCCACGCAGTGGATGGCGATGGCCGGCTTAGCGGAGGAGGACATAGCAGTAGCAGAAGAAGAAGAAGGAGCAGCAGCAGATGAAGAGCCGGCGCCGGAACCAGCAGCGGTGGACGACGACGATGACGAGTCTGAGCCAAAGGTAGCGGCAACCAGAGCCAGCCATTCATCGACAATGTGACTTGGCGGAGCTTCGCCGTCGGTAAAAGCCCAATCATGAAACTCAATGCCGCGGGCAAGGACAGGCTCGGACGAGTATGACGGCTCACAGACACGGACCATATGGCTCACAGAGTACTTGGTGAACTCGTCCAGGTACAGTGAGAGGTTGCTCTCCAGCGGCGCGTCCGTAATGAGGAACCGGTACCGTCCGTGCTCAAGAAACGTGGGCGCGTTGGGCAGCCGTCGCCCGGCCATGACCTGCGGGGTTGTGCGGGGGGAGGGGAGGGGAGGGGCGGGGCGGGGGTGGTGGGGGTGGTAAGGGGGAGGGTGGGGGGGAGGGGGTGGAATGGGGTGGGGGGTGGGGTGGGGGGGGTGGGGTGCGTGGGTGACTGGGGGTGGCCGTGGTGGTGGGGGCGGGGCGGGTCAGTGGCTAGCCGGGTGACTTTGGTGTGTTGACAGCGACGGCTTTCGGCTTTGGGTGACACGGAGCTATGGCGCCGGTGGCGCGACGTTGAGTTGGGCTTCGGTTATGGGTGGATCATGGTGGAGAGGGCAGAGATGGTAGAGCAGAGCGAGGAGAGTGTGCGGGTGAGGGCGGCGAGGGCGAGAGCGAGGCCGGCAATAATGAGCATGTGTGGCGACGGGATCCAGGCCGCCATAAATGCTGGGAGCGGAGGCGTGCCGTCGATGGCGTGGCAAAAGACCAGTTGCCCGAGGATGAGGCAGGCCAAGCCGGTGGCGATGCGAGTCACTGCTCCCCGCCGCTCGGCGTGAACGTCAGGCAGGCCGCGGAGGACGGCACCGCGGTCGACAAGATAGGCGGTAAACTTGACAAGAGTCGTCCCGCGCCCGTAGAGTGCGTGAAGCAGAAGCAGGCAGCCCGCGCCGCACTCGATGGCCAGCAGCGGTGCCGCCACAGAGAGACAAGACCGCGTCGATGCGTCGAGGTTGGTGGCAAGGCCGGAGAGAAAGACATAGAGCGGGAGATGGAGCGTGAGTGGGGCACCAAGATAGAGCCAGGCCAGGCGCGCTGGCGAGAGGACGGCGGTGTCGCTCTCGTGGAGGACAAGTCGGATGACCGGGGCGAGGGCGGTCATCGTGTGCGCCCATGACAGCGGGCGGAGCACAGTCGACCACGCGACAGCAGGCGACGGCGGCGCGTCCAGCCGCAGCGCCACGCCAAAGACCGTCAGCATTGCTGCCACCAGCCAGCAGACCACTACCAGCTGGACGAGCGCCTCATCGCCGGTCGAGCGCCCAAACACAGCTGCGGTTGGCGAGGCGACAAAGCGTGCAAGGCGCGTGATCGCCGCGTACCCGCCAAGCAGGAGCAGACCCTGTAGCAGGCACGAGAGGAGGAGCCACGACGGAAAGGTGGCGCCGAGCAGGAGCTTGGACGCCGTGCCGAGAGTAAACCCCGCAAGCAGGGCGAGCGCCAGCAGGCTCGTCAGCAGCATCTGCAGCGTCTCCATCTCATCATTGGAAGAGTTGGCCGAAGAAGCGGTGTGGGCCGATGGCATCAACGCCCGCAGGTAGTCGACTCGGCGCAGAGCGATGGCAGGAGGAAGCGCGTGCGCAGAGATGAGCCCTATTTGGCTCTGCGGTTGGCCCGTGTACGTCTTCAGCGGCGCAACAACAAGAAACATGTCCTTGGGAGGCTCAAAATGCTCGACAACAAAGACAGGGTGCCCGGCTCAAGCCGGAGAACAAATCCGGCCTCCGATTCGGTGTACTCGTTGTAGTCCCAGCCGCCCTCGACCTGGCACCGGCGCGACCAGAGTCCGTGAGTGGACTTGGCGAGGCGTGCGTCTGTGTCCATCCAGCCCATCGCCAGAGCCCGCCAGCCATGCAACGGCTCGCAGCGGTTCAGAAACCCATCGATTGCCGCCATCTCGCTTGTCGCCAGCGTATACTGGTTGCGCGCCAGCTCGCGCCAGACCTTATCGTTGGTTGCCACGCGGCGCAGCTGTGACGGCCAGCAGCATCAGGACGATCGGCACGATCAGCACGAGTATGAGCAGCACGAGCAGGTCGATCAGTACAACCAGCACGAGTATGAGCAGCATGAGCAGGTCGATCAGTACAACCAGCACGAGTATGAGCAGCATGAGCAGGTCGATCAGTACAACCAGCACGAGTATGAGCAGCACGAGCAGGTCGATCAGTACAACCAGCATCAGTATGAGCAGCACGAGCAGGTCGATCAGTACAACCAGCATCAGTATGAGCAGCACGAGCAGGTCGATCAGCACAACCACCACAACCACCACAACCACCACAACCAGCACAACCAGCACAACCAGCACAAACAGCACAACCAGCAAAACCAGCACAACCAGCACAACCAGCACAACCAGCACAACCATCAGCCCACACAGTAAGACCCTCTATCACCACCCTGCCCATCCCCATCCCAATCATCCCCCTTTTACAACATACATGTGAGCATGTGGCAGAGAGAGCCACCACCGAGGCCACATCCAGGTGAGCCACCACCCGTACCAGTGCTTCCTCGGGAAGCGAGACGAAGTCAGACATGGCCGAGACAGAGAGACCCGAGACGCAGCCACAGAGACACGGACACAGACACGCTCTCTCCCTCTAGGTATGCTTGTAGATGGGGGTGGAAGTAGGTCTCTTGCGTTTTACTCACGTCGAGTGTCTTCTGTCTATGTCTATGTCTGCGCCTGTTGACGGTGACGGTCCCAGTCCAGGTGCCTGCTCCTCCCTCTGCTCTTGCGGTCGCCTGTGGGCCTTCCGTCCGCTCGCAATGGAAGCTCGGATCCATTGGCTATCAACAGCGACACCACCGACCACAACGACTACAGCGACCGCAATAACTGCTGACATGGGCTGGATGGCATCTGCAGACAGCTGCATGGTAATGGGGGGGAGGGAGAGATCAGATGTGCTTGTGTCGATCTCAATCTGCTTGGGCACGCTCATCGGATCGATCGGCGGCTAACAGCGACAGAGCGATCGAAGGTGGTCAACGAGTGTGGCGCCGCTAGCTGCTAGCTCCGGCTGGTGTCTCGGGAGTCGCAACTGCGTCTGGAAGCGAGCCGTGTGACGGATGGAGTGCGAGCCAGAGCTTGTCGAGGAGGCCGGGTGGTGCGGTAGTGGCGATGTCTTCCACAATCTGCGCGGCTGAGTGCGCGGCGGAAAAGTGGAGGAGAACAAGGGCATCGAGCGAGTGGAGCACGCGATTTCCATCGGCGTAGGCCTGAACGATGTGATCAAAGTGCACGTGGCCGCGCTCACGCGCCTTGGCCGGCGTCGTGTTGGGCGACGTCCCCACGTACGTGCACTCGAGCGCCAGCACCGAGACGCCGTCAAGCGCAGCCAGATTGGCCTCGTTGGTGAGAAAGTCGATCGTCGTGTCGCCCGAGTAGGCAAAGATCTTGGCAATGCTGGCTTCGGTCACCTCTATGCCCTCGCGCTTGAGCCTGCCCACATCTGCTGTCGCCATGCTCCCGTCAGCAATGGCCGCCTTGTACTCGGCCTTGAGCGCCGATCGCTCCTCAGCAACGAGATAGCCAACGGCATCCACTCGATGGATGGCCTCCAAAGGTGTGACACGCAGTCGACGCGAGGCAAGACCAGCGAGAGCATGCGGATCAAAGCTCTCGCCAACAACAGCGCCAACAACAGTGGCGCCCAGAGGCGAGTCGGTGAGCAGCTCTGCCGACTCAAAGTACGCCTGCATGGCGTTCTCGGCCGGACCAGCCGGTACCACATACGTCGACGTGCTTGATCTGTTCATCAGTGACCGGCGCGACGCATGCTGAATGACTCCAGACGAATGATCAAGATGCCCATGACTGCAGAGAACCACAGAAGCGCCCAAGATGGCAGCCGCCGGGAGCAACGAGTCGAACGAGCCCATGTCAAAGACGAGCTTGGATGAGTGAAGGACGACAGAGGTCGAGACTCCAGCCACCGATGAGATGGACAGTCGTACTTGGCCCGTCACAGCAGTCTGCAGCACCTGGCACCGTCCAGCGAGTTTCTCCATGGCTTGTCCGGGAGGTGAGGGGGGGGGGAGGACGAGTGGCCGTCGAAGCAATAGAAAGGCAGGTGCGTGCGAGTGTGATGTCAACATGGGATTGGGTGGGCAGAAAGGGGGTGGGTGGGGTATGGTGTGTGTATTGTGCAGCTGCTGGTGCAGTGGCCGGTGGAGGGGGCGGGGGGGGGGGGGGGGGGGGGGGGCGTGATGTCTACTTCTTCTTGCACCGCTGGAAGGAGATGCCGCAGGCGGCCCAGATGATAATGAAGATGATGAGGATGCAGACAAAGCCGAGAAGGAGCTGCATCTTCATGTTCTGCCACCACATGGCGCGCTTGAGCTGTGTCGACCGCTTCTGGAAGACTTGTGCCTGCGAGTTGAGCTGATCAGTCCGATCGACAAGGACCTCGATTCGCTCGCCGCGCTCGAGCACCTTTTCGATGTTCTCCACCATCACCCCCTTGACGTCCTCGATCTGGGCCTGCAAGTGTCCGATCTTGTCCGCGCTGGGGTTGTTCGAGAAGAAGTCGGTCCGCTCCGCAAGCCGCCGTCCAAACCGATCATTAAGCTCGTACGCCTGCGCCGTCTGCCACTGCCGCGGGTTGGGGATCTCAGCGTGGAAGTTCTGCGAGACGTCTGCCAGAAACGCAAACGGAATCCGCTTCTTGGTATCTGTCCGCACCCATTCCCGACCATCCATACATCCATCAGTAACCAATCCCGCTGTGAGTCTCTCGCCATGCCCATCACTCTCCCGCTCGTCCACGTCCTCGCATCTACGGCCTTTTCCGGTGGGCGGTCATGATCACCGTCGTGATCACCGTCGTGATCACGACCGCGATCACGGCCACAGCCAGGCTGCCAGACCACCTGCCCCACCCGCACAGCACCGCACACACCCGTAGTCTCCTGCCATGCATGTGGCTGTGGCAAGCGGATGTCGGAACACGCGAGGTGGGAAGGGCTGGGTGGTGCGGCGAGCGGGAGGTGGCGGGGGGACGAGACGGAACAAGGGCTCGGCGCGGGCGCGACAAGGCTGACGGATTGGGGGGGGAGGGGGGGATGGCGAGGGACATGTGCCAAAGCAACAGGGTGGAGGAAGCGGGAAGGAAACCGTACCCTTGTCGGTCATGGCCATGAAGATGAGGCCGTCCTCGACCATGTAGTGGAAGACATACTCGTTGTAGGCATACGAGCGCTTCTCGTTGTGCGACGGGTTCACCTTCTCCAGAATCATAGGGGCAATGGTGGTAAAGTTGCCGGACGCCGTGGCGTGGTCAGCGAGGATGGTCGCCCCGCGGGCAACCACTGCGTAGATGATCATCCTTTGCTCTACACAACCGTCTCAACAAGGTCGGTGCCAGGGCGAGAAGTACTTTGCCGCCGCCACCACGGTCGCCGACTGTCAGCCGGCCGGTCAGCCAACCTGGCGCGTATGCGACGCCCCCCGCCGACCGCCACTCGTCGCCTGTCCAAACTTTGAAGGATCGTTCCATGGCGACGATGGCTCACGCGAGACGAAAGGAGATGGCATCGATCGATCATGTTACAAAATAGCTCATTCTACAGTGTTGGTACTGGTAGTGGGGGGGGGAGGGAGGGGGTGGAAGGGGACAAGAAGCAAGGGTAGCCGAGATCGGAGCCTCATGCGTGCTCGCATGAGATGAGAAGGATCGAGTTGCGCGCAGCGGCCGGTTGTATTTTCGGCCTTTGCGGTGTGCGGGCTAAGATGATGAGCTTCAGTTGAGAGCACTTGATGTTGGCATGGTAGCCGTCGCATTGTAGGGGTTAGTGATGTGCGACTGTGTGTAGAATGGTCACAACGAGAGTTGCAGTCGGATATGCTTTGTGTGAGCCAGAAGAGCATTGATCAGCCACTCGTAAAATAGTGCACATCATGACCTCACATGCAGTTCTTTAAGACCGCGATTGCATGTGTGCTTAAGCTCAGGATGGGATACGGCCAGCCAGAATGATCTGGATGCTGAGCATTCTATCGTTAGTATCGGCTCAGATCAACCAGCTCACTCCGATCCAGCCGCCCCGAGCTCCCCGGGACGGACGGATCTGGCTGTCAGCAGCTGCACGAACGTGCTGTCCGCGCTCATCCCCTGATCGGAGCCAACACGTCCGATCATACATTGCGCTTGTGATCTAAGGCATGTCATGTCCGAGACGCGATGGGCCCATGCAGCGGATGGATCGCTCCGGAGGCCGGTGGGTGCCGAGCCGAGACGACGAGGCCAGCGACACCTCACTCGCCTGAGAGGCCAACATGTCGGACGGCGAGAGCGAAGGCGAGGTGTATATCCATGACGAGACCTGGGTCGAAGCCCAAAGACAGGTATGTACATGGCGGTGGTAGCGGTGTGGCGGTGGTGGTGGTGTGTGTGTGGGGATGTGATGATGATGATGATGATGGTGGTGGTGATGCGGTAGGTGGTCACGCATGGTGGTCCGTTTTTGGTATGGCAACGGAGCAGTTGCGAGCGAGGTGACCGGGACAAAGGGCGGCAGAGAGCTTGGGGGCCTGGGGGGTTGGGTGACTGACTTATATATATATATGCGTGTATGCGTGTGTGTGTGTGTGTGTGTGTGTGTGTGTGTGTGTGTGTGTGTGTGTGTGTGTATGTGTGTGTGTGGCGGGCATACTGCGCGGGACAGACGTTCGGAGCCTGGGTCAATGTGGTGCTGCAGCGGGACGGGCATCAGGTCGAGGTCAATGACTTGTATTCAGAGTTTGCATCGGTTTTGGTCGAATTGGCCTCGGCGTTGACGGGTTGGTCCCCGCCGAGATCGGTGAAGAAGACGCCGAAGCTGATGGCGCAGAAAATCGATAACATTGGCGTGGCTCTGGCCGTGTTTCAGGCCGACGGCGTCGCCTTGGGCTCCATCGATCCAAACTCGCTCTGTTCAGGGCGCAAGGTCGTCATTCTTGGTCTCATCTGGAACCTTATTCAGTCGTACTCGGTTGGCAAGTCGTGGCGCGGTAAGGCGCAGGCCGAGCTCACACGATGGATCCGGATAGTCACTGGCGACGAGACGGCGTCTCTGTTGGGCTTTAGCTCTGGCGAACTGCTTGTGCAGCTCATTCGTGCCCTGGCGCCTGTGGCGGGCGGTGAGGCGCAGACGCGGATCGAAGCCTTTAACGCATCGTGCCACGAGCCGGGGATTGAGCTGAACCGTGCTGCGCTCGACCTTGCGCATGATGCGCTCGGGGTTGAGCCGCTCATCGCGGCAGAGCTGCTCTCTTCGCGCGAGCCGGACATTCCCTCGCTTTTCACCTACGTTGCGCAGTTCTACAAGGACTTTTCCGAGCGCGTTGCGGCGGTGCATGCCGAGCGTGAGGCAGCCAAGGAGGCCGAGCGTGAGGCAGCTGAATCCGCCGAGCGTGAGGCAGCTGAATCCGCCGAGCGTGAGGCAGCTGAATCCGCCGAGCGTGAGGCAGCTGAGGCAGCCGAAGCCGCCGAGCGTGAGGCAGCTGAGGCAGCCGAGGCCGCAGCAGCAGTTGAGCGCGAGGCAGCTGAGGCAGCCGAGCGTGAGGCAGCCGAAGCCGCCGAGCGTGAGGCAGCCAAGGCAGCCGAGGCCGCAGCAGCAGTCGAGCGTGAGGCAGCTGAGGCAGCCGAGCGTGAGGCAGCCAAGGCAGCCGAGCGTGAGGCAGCCGAAGCCGCCGAGCGTGAGGCAGCTGAATCCGCCGAGCGTGAGGCAGCTGAGGCAGCCGAAGCCGCCGAGCGTGAGACAGCTGAGGCAGCCGAGGCCGCCGAGCGTGAGGCAGCTGAGGCAGCCGAAGCCGCAGCAGCAGTTGAGCGTGAGGCAGCTGAGGCAGCCGAGCGTGAGGCAGCCGAAGCCGCCGAGCGTCAGGCAGCTGAATCCGCCGAGCGTGAGGCAGCTGAGGCAGCCGAACGCGAGGCAGTCGAGGCCGCAGCAGCAGTTGAGCGTGAGGCAGCTGAGGCAGCCGAGCGCGAAGCAGCCGAAGCCGCCGAGCGTCAGGCAGCTGAGGCAGCCGAGGCCACAGCAGCAGTTGAGCGTGAGGCGGCCGAGACGGTTGAAGTGACCGAGGCGGCTGAGCACAGCGCAGCAGCAGCAACAGCTACAGCATCCGAGCACGAGGCATCCAACCCACCTCCACCCACCGCCACCCAATCCGAGGACCCCGCACAGGACGCAGCTACTGAGGCTGCTTCCGACGCGAGTGCGATCCCCATCAGCAACGTTGCCAATGCCTACCGAAACTATTCCGACTCATATTCTGATTCGGACTCGGACTCGGGCGTGTACTCGGCGAGCCTGCCATCGGACCCGATGCGCGAGGCTGTTCCAGCGCCCACCCCGGCTGCTGCCCGCGCCCCAATCCCTGTTGCCCAGCGCCTGCTCAACCGCGGCAACAAGAATCCGGCGCGCGAGGAGGCACGCAAGACGCTCATTGTCGACCTGCCTGACTCGCTCGCCGACCTCGCCTCGGCCGAGTCGCAGTCACCGTCGTCCCGCCGCTCGTCGCGCCTCTCTATCGTTGCCGGCGAGCTGCGTGCCGGTGCCTTTGCCCGTACCCTCTTCGCCTTTGAGGGCGAGGACGACGACGAGCTGCCGTTTGCAGCCGGCGACACACTGCTCATCCTCGAGACACCATCACCTGGCTGGTTTGTGGCCGAGCGCGACGGCCAAGTTGGCTACGTTCCGTCCAACTACCTCGAGTTCTTCTCCGACAAGCCGCTCTCAACGCTCGACTCGCCGCGCTTCGTCTCATCGCGCCGCTCGTCCCTCTTTGACTCTCAATGCGAAGACACCGAGGAGGCGCTCCTTCGCCAGACTGCAGACGGCACAGCTCTCTTGCCGTACGACTCGCTCACCCTCGATAGCACCGAGCTGCCTGAGGCCGAGCCTGCCACGTCGCCCGCGACGCTTTCGCTTCCGGCCGAGCGCCCGACTCGTAAGGGGACCTTGTCGCAACTGCTCGAACAGCCGCCCTCGGCCGAGCTCGACCTCGCTGAAGTCTCAATTGGCATCACCTTTGCCGACGATGCCGCTGACCCCTCACCTCACCTTGTCTCGGTCCGCCTGACGCAGGAAACACCGCCTGTAGGTCTCTCAGCCTCGGCCACCGCCGTGGTCGAAGCCGACCCCGACGGCCAGTTTTTTGTCCGCGTCACGTCGGCTCGGCCTGGCCGCTACCTTGTCCAGGTCATAGTTGCCGGTGACGTCACCGAACATTTGATTCTCTCGCTCGACGACGCGCTTGTGGCCTCGATCGTCCCGCTCGCCGTCGATGACGACGACAGCGATGACGTTCTCGCCCAGCTTCCGGTCTCCTTCCTCCGCGCCATCAACGCCACCGGACCGGTTCGCGCCCGCCAGGCTCAGCTGGACGGCTCAAACTCGGGCTCTGTGCCTGAATCACGTTCGCGGACGGCCTCGACAGCCTCGACAGCGTCGACAGCATCGGCTGGCCCACTCGGCTTCACCACTGACGACGGCTCGATGAGCTTGCTCTTTGAGTCGCCCCCGTCAGACGCGCCGTACCTGCACCGATCGTCTTCTGCCGGCCCTTCGCGCCGCCGTCGCGCTACCACCGCCATGCTCACCAACGAGCCGGTTGAGATCTCACACCTCCGTCCGCACTGCGTCGGCCTTTCGTGGGACCTCGCTGACGGGAGCCGGTTGGCCGCGTCGGCAGCGCAGCTTGTTCTCGCCGCCGTTGGCCTCGACGCCCAGCACAAGGTCATCGATGTCGTCGGCCTCGGCGCAGCCAGCGAGCTCGACGACGGCCTCGCGCTTGTCACAGGCGACGACAACGAAACCATCTGCCCGCAGGTCCTCCACCTCAAGCTCGACGCCCTTAACGTCCGGGTTGCACACGTCATGCTCGTCGCCTACGTCGCTCCGCTCGATGTGCCGGCCGAGGGCATCACGGCCCCGTCGCTCACCTTTGGTGAAGTCTCGTCGCTCCAGGCGCACATCTTCGAGTCGACCGACCACAAGGGTCCCGACCTCATCAAGCAGTACTCGTCCTGCGAGCGCAACGGTGCCATCGCCCGCAACTCGTTCGGCAAGGTCACCGTCGTCCGCGGCGAGCACACCTTCCAACTCGTCGCCGTCCTCTCCAAGGTCGAGCTCACCATGCTCGCCAAACCGTGGCGCTTTGCTTTCCACAATGAGCCCATCGACCTTTCCCTGCACTCGACCGGGATCGAGCCCACTCCGCAGACCGTCGCAGTCCTTCTCGCGGCTTTTGCCTCGGAGCGCAACCTCCTTCCACCCAAGCCCGTAGTCGCCGTCTCCAAGGCCGGCGGCTTTGTGTGGAAGAAGGGTGGGAAGCGGCGGAACTGGAAGAAGCGGTTCATGCTCCTCTCGGGCGGCTTCCTCTACTACTTTGTCAAGCCGCCCACCGCCCGCCCAGGCTCCCGCGAGTTCATCAATCTTGCCAAGGGCCGCATTCCTCTAGTCGACGCCTACGCCAACGGCTCATTTGAGCACCGCAAGTTCGACTTTGCCTTCCAGATCATCACCCCGACCAGGACCTACATCATGCGTGCAGACTCGGCCGCCGAAAAAGACTTTTGGCTCACCACCGTCCGTGAGGAAGCTGCCCTCCTCCGCTACCAGCACGATCTCGCTGCCGCCGGCTCCTCAACCTAGCCGCTCACACTCGTCCATCCTCAAACTAAACCCATCCGACCGGCCGACTCTCCGGTTGACTGACCGACTGCGACTCGCAGCCAGTGACGCGACCCCCCCCCCCCCCCCCCCTCCCCCCGTAAGGGGCTGAGCATCTTATGGCTAAAGGCTTTTCCTGGCCGGAGTTGGGGGAAACCTTAAATCAGCCTTCTAGAAAAATGTGTGGGCGTCTGCGGAGAGGCAACCTCACCCATCTCATGTCCGAAACATCGACTGCCCGCTCTGCGGCGAACCTTACCCACCATCCCTCATACAAACTCATGCGGCTGTCTGCGGCGAGCCACCTCCTGCCAGCTCGCCGGCACGGTCACCTGCTGCGACAAAGCCGGGCCGCGCGACGAGCATTGGCGCCATTGATCTGACGGGCGATTCCGATACCGAGTCCAATCTAGGAAGCAACGCCGAGAACAACGCCGGAGCATCTACCAGAGATATCACTCCATCGTCCACAGCCACCTCGTCTCCGGCTCGGCATGCCTCGAGCTCTGTGGCTGTTGCTGGGGGTGGCGTCAAGCGGCGAGCGGATGGATCGCTGGTCGGACAGGGTGCACAAGGCGGGATGACGGCGGCCGCTGCGGCTGCTGCGGCTGCGGAAAGACGGGCGAGCAAGAGGAGCGGATTGGCTGGCGGATTGGCAAGCGGAGAGGTGGCAGAGGAGAGAGCGCTGAAAAGGCAGCGGCGGCTGGACGGCACGCCTGTGGACGAGAGTGATGCAGAGGGCGAGGACGAGGTGGGCGGACGGTTCACGGTACTGACGTGGAACGTGTGGTTCGAGCCTATCGAGATGGCGCGGCGGATGGTGGCGATCGGGAGGGAGATCCAGGCGCGGAAGCCAACACTGGTGGCGCTGCAGGAGGTGACGCCGACCTCGCGCGAGCTTCTGCTCGCGCTTCCGTGGGCAGTCGACTACAACGTGACAGAGCAGCCGGCGGATGTGCCTTACTTTACCCTCGTTGCTCTCCGCATCGCCCCGCTCCAGGTCCAGCGCATCGGTTTTGCCAACTCGTGCATGGCGCGCGACGTGGTGGTGGCGTCGGTGGAGATCGAGGCGCCAGGTTGCGGCGGCCCGCTCCGGCTCGCCTTTGCCACCTCGCACCTCGAGTCTGGCTCGCAAGCTGCAACGACACGGGTGGCGCAGCTCGGAGCATGCCTCAAGCTCCTCTCGCCGCCCAAGTCTGGTGCCGACGCAGCCATTCTTGTCGGCGATCTCAACCTGCGCAAGCGCGAGGGCCTTCCGCTGCCGACCGGGAACGGGTGGGCGTGGGCTGATGCATGGACTGAGCTCGGTCGTGCCCACGCCGCGGGCGCCACCATGGACGCTGCCATCAACCCGTATGCCACCTGTGCCTTTATCCGTGACTTTAAGACCCGCTACGATCGTGTGCTCTTCCGCCCCTCGCGCAGGGCCAAGCCGACTGCTAGCCCGCGACCATCGATTGTCCTCATCGACATGGTTCGCATCGGCATGAAGCCGTTCGGCTACGACGCTGCCAGCAAGCCCATCTTTTGCTCGGACCACTTTGGCCTGGTTGCCACCTTTGACGTTGTCCGCTGATGCTTCGGCTACACAAATAAACGTCAGCTACTGTCTGTTGTCCGTTGACGGCAGGATCGGCGAAGAGCCGCCGGCGCCTGCCAGGGGCGGCATGGTAAGCGAGGGACGGCCGCGGCGAGGGCCGGAGATCCCGAGCCCGAGCTGGGTGACCTCGGTCGAGCCCGAGGCCGCGAGTCTGTTGCCGCCGCGACGTCGGCTCGGCGAGTCGGGCAACGACGGGGCGCCGGCATCAGAGGCTTCGCCACCATCGTTGCCACTGGCAAGTGTGGCCTCGAGGGCAAGCACTGGTGAGGACTGGGCGCTTCCGGGCAGCGAGGGCATGGGCGGGAGAATTGGCTTCGGCTTGGTGCCGCCCTTAGGACTCGGCAGCGAAAGCCCAGCCGCAAGCCGTGATGCCCGTGCCCGGAGCACCTCGCGATGCATGGGCGAGCGGGCAGGCGAGCGACTGAGGATCTCCGACGACGGTGAGTCGAGCAGCTTGGACAACGACTCGAGCGTCACGTCGACGCCCGACTTGACCGGCGCGGGGCCGTCCGAGTCAGAGCACGACGGCAGAGCGAGGTCGTCGTCGGAAGCACTGTCCTTGAGCGACGAAGACTCTCCACTCGAGTTCGATTCGGTCTCGACTACGGTGGCGTTGTGGGTGGCGTCGAGGATGGTGGTTTGCGACGCTGCGGGCGCAGGCGGCATGGGCGGCAGCGCCTTGCGGCCAGCGACCGACGCCTTGCTCCGCTTAGGCCCAAGGTCTATCGAGCGGCCAGTGCGCGTCGAGCGCTGTGTGATGCTGTTGCGACGGCCGATGGAGCGGCGGCGGCCGGGTGAACGGCGGGCAGATGCGGACGAGGAAGACGCCGCCAATGACGGCGCCGACGAGGCCGACGAGAAGCCTGCGGCGTCAGGCAAGGCCGACCGGGGGAAGCTGGCGAGTCTGGCGACGAGATGGAGATCGAGCTACTGCCATCGGCGTCGTCGGCGTCGCCAGAGAGCAGCGAGTCGAGCGAGAGGTTAGCGGCGCGCAGGGCGGCGGCCGACCGCATGTCCGCCTCGGAACCGAATGAGACCGAGCCAATCACCGACGACGACGCCGATGGGGCTCCTGCGTCGGCCTCAAAGGCCGAGGTCGAGACGACCGAGACGTCGTGCGGCGTGTCAACAGCGGACAGGCCAGGGATGGGCGGCAGCTGGTTGCGCGTCTTGGCCTGAGCAATCAGCTTGGCGGTTATCGTGCTGGGTGCTGGGTCGAGCGCGGTGACACTGTCTGGCAGCGGCGGCATGCCTGGGAGGGAGGGCAGGCGGAGCGAAGCCTTTCGTGACGAGGCTGACGACAAGCGCGAGGTGCGCCCAGACGACGGGGGCGGCGGGATGGCTCTTCGGCGCTTGGGCCACTGACTACAGTCTGCTTGCCCTGCATCACGGCAGGCGTCGGCAGCTTGATTTGTTCGGCAAACGAAGCCGGGAGGGTCGAAAGCTGTGGGAGCGGCGCGATGGGCAGCGGCGGGAGCGCTGCTGGCATAGCAGTACCGCCACTTTCGGACGAAGGCGCGGTAGACGAGTCTAGCGCAGAAGAAGTCGAGGACGCGGAAGAGGACTCGGAGGTCGACGAGCGCTTGGCGTCAACGATAAAGACTTCGTCATCAACAGCCTCTCGGAGGCAGCAGAGGAAGAAAAGACAGCAGCAGCAGCAGAGGGCGAGCAGGATCATGGCGAGGACAAAGATCCACCACCAGTTACCGACGCGGCGCTGGATGCCGTCAACGGAGAGCTGAGAGTCTTCATCGTCGTTGACGATGGTGACGGCGCACCAGCGGGCGTCGTCGTCGAGCAGAGCGTTGGTTATCGAGGCCGGGCGAATCTCGATGCTGACGACTTCATCGTCCTCGACCTCGACGTCGCCGACCACAAAGAGCTGGACGGCAACCTGGGTGGTACCCGGATAAAAGGAGAAGGCATGGGTGAGGAGAGGCGTGCCGAGTGGACTGATGGCCAGGCCGAAGATGTCGGAAACAGAGGCGACGGCGGGGTCGCCGTCACGACCGAGGACGACGCCGACGCCGACGCTTACATGCTCGTACGAGGGCGCCGAGAGGACAAGTGTGAGATTGGCGACGGAGCCGCGCAGGCTGGCCGGATCAGACCCCTCAGCGACCGCGACCTCACGGGCAGCCCACGACAAGACCGGGCGGGTGTCATCATTGATGATGGTGAGTGTGACGTTGAGCGACGGAGGCGCAGGCAGCGGGAGGGTCGCAAAGCTGATGGCGACAAGTTCGTCTGTCTCGTAGTCCAAGTCGCCGATGACCGCCACGGTGACGTTGTGGGAGACGGCGGCGGGCGGGATGGACGAGAGACCGGCACCCGAGGCAGCGTCCAACAGGCGAAAGTCGACGTCGCGCGTGGCCGGGAAGGCGACATCGCGTGAAGTAATGATGATGGGTGTCGCGTGCTCCGATGGGCGTGAGACTACCAGCTCGAAGCCAATAAGCGTCGTATTGCCACGATCGCCTTCAGCGGTAGTAAGGACCAAGGCAGAGGTGGGCGACGCCGCAGGGGCACGAGCTTGCAGGGTGGGCGGCGGGCCCGAGTCGTCAATGGTGACCACGGTAGCGGCCACGGGACCGATGACGGCCGAGCCAGCGATGCTGGTGATCGTGACGGCAAACGTCTCGCCACCGTCGTACCAGGCATCAGCGTGGACGACGGCGTTGAAGACAACCGAGGTGGCACCGGCCGGGATAACGATGGGCGACGAGACGAGGTCAAAATCAACATTGCTTGTAGCCAGAGAGCCTGGCGGAACCGAGGTTGTGAGGGTGACAGATATGGCAGATGGCGACGGGGCCGAGAGGAAGATGGTAACCGGAACGAGCGCCGAGCCCGACGTCGGCTCGGAAGCCATGACAGCGGCCGAGGCCATAACAACCACCGGTGGGGATAGCGGTGGTGGACTCGGGGGCGGCAGCGGCGGGCTTGGTGGCGGTGGTAGCGGACTTGGTGGAGGAGGGCTCGGCGGCGGAGGCGGCGGACTCGGAGGAGGCGGGCTCGGCGGCGGTGGTGGTGGAGGCGGACTCGGAGGAGGAGGACTCGGCGGCGGTGGAGGCGGACTCGGAGGAGGAGGGCTCGGTGGCGGCGGAGGCGGGCTCGGAGGAGGAGGGCTCGGTGGCGGCGGAGGCGGGCTCGGAGGAGGCGGACTCGGCGGAGGCGGAGGCGGACTCGGAGGAGGCGGACTCGGTGGCGGCGGAGGCGGACTCGGAGGAGGCGGACTCGGTGGCGGCGGAGCCGGACTCGGAGGAGGCGGGCTCGGCGGTGGCGGAGGCGGACTCGGAGGAGGCGGACTCGGCGGCGGAGGCGGACTCGGCGGCGGCGGAGGAGGACTCGGAGGAGGCAGACTCGGTGGCGGCGGTGGGGGGCTCGGAGGAGGCAGACTCGGTGGCGGCGGT